GGGAGCAGTCAGATTCCGGTTTCTTGCCGAGCGTGGTTGGAAAGCAGATCCAGAGTTCAGCATTACCCCTCGACCATTCGCTTCCTTTGGATCATTGCAGGAATCGGCGACGCCCTCCGCGAGGAGCGCTACGAGGAGGCTTACCTGAGGTCCCTCCTCGGTTTGGCTGCCGGAGATCAGCTGTCCATAGACAAAGGCAGCTGGAATGTGGCGGGGGAAGTTCTTCTCGAAGATCCCCCGCCGTTCACCTCGTTCACTTCGCACACTCTCCCGAGCGGCGCCGAGGTTCCGTTCACCAAGCTCGTCGACGCACGATGGATGGAGATCTTCATGGCGAGGCTTCGGGAGGTCGACCTCTACCTGGAAACCCGTCGCAAGCTTGGAGGGGGCGGCTCGCGCCGAGGCGAAGATGGTGGTGCTCCGCCGCAGCGCACCGATGCCGAGGAGACACCTACGGGGCCGAAGAAGCCCCCGAAAGGCAGAGGCCGAGGGTCGAAGGGAGCCTCGGCTTCCGAGGAGAAGTGATGGATAGTCTTTGTGGGGCGGCCGGGCCCCAAAGCAGTACAGCCGGCCCTACGCGGGAAGAGGCTCGCCCTGGAGCATTGTTGGAGCTGGTAAGGGTTCCTGGGTCTGGTGCAACAACCGTTGATCCCGCTGCTCTTTGGAAAGCCCTCCCTCGTCTTTTGCTATCGTGCGATAATGCTTTCGCTCAGTTTTTCAGCAGCTATTTTGAGTATGCCCACGAATGTCCTGAAGTTGGGCGTGCCGCATTGTCTCCCTGGCCGATGCCTTTGCCCTACTTTGGAGCCAGCGAGGTGCGGAAAAACCAAGGATGTTGCGCCTCAGATGCTCGTCAGGAGGATGCCTTGAAAGTCGCCCTGAACTTGTTAGTGGCTGCTTTGTCTTGGCTTCACCTCGGCAGGTCGCGCTCGACTCCCTCGCTCATCCGCGGGAAGCGAGCACTCGATGACGAGCAATGGGCTCATGTGGGGCGGCTGGAGGGGATGGTGCGAGAAATCATTTGCCACTCGCCCGTGTCTGCTGAGGAGATGGGACGTGTGGCTTCAAAGATCGAGAATTTGGAGGAGATCGCCGAAGGTCTTCGAAACAAGACAGAGAAACTAGCTGTGCTTTGCCGAGGCTACGGTCATGGCTTGGGGGCTCCCCGGATGGGGGACCCTGTGGAGCTCGACTTCGCGGGCGAGGCTCGCGGTGATCACTCGAGTAGCATGACTGCTAAGCCTGTGGTAGCTTCTCGCTTGGAGTTTGGCACGGCCCCGAAGTTCGATCCCGCCCCGTATATGGATGCACTCAGCCTGGAGCGGTACCTTTGCCCTCTAGACCATGCGGTAGATGAAGAGAGTTGTCCTGAGGCTCCACCTAGGGCTCGCATCCTTGCGAGCACGACGGAGAAGCTAGCTCTTTTCAAGAAGCTGGACGAGAGTGGCAGGCTGAAGTTCCTGCCCGCATCCGTCACCCGAAAGCGCTGTTTGAATCGGTGGACACAATCTTTGGGCTGTGCCGAAGCTATTTTGCAGATGCGCCTCGCTGAGAACGAAATCCTCGTGGTTTCAGGAGCAGATTTGAAAGATTATTACTATCATTACATCATTAGCCATCAGCGTCTGGTACGGAACTCGCTTGCAGGCTTCGTGGACGAGTCCGTGGCTCGGAGCTTCAGCTGCTTCGAAGAGCAACTTGATGGGACGGGGCCTTACAGAGCAGCGCTAAACAGTATGGCGATGGGGGACCTGAACAGCGTCGAGTTCGGACAACTTGCTCATTTGTCCCTCAGCCTGCAGGCACAGGTCTTCTCCCCGGAGGAAATGTTGACGCTGAAATCGCGTGCTCCACGCTCTTCCATTGCAGGCGGAGTAGTGATTGACGATTTATTCATTGCTGAAAAGATCGATCGTGCCAGGATGAACGAGTTGGGCAGCGGCACCGCTGCTGGGGCTCTCCGGCTCAAGCGGGCAGAGAAGGCCTACGTTGACAGTGGTTTGAAGCAGAATTTCAAGAAATCGTTCAGTGAGAAAGTCCGCGCTGAGGTGTGGGGCGCAGAGATCGACGGCGAAGTGGGGACATGCAGGCCCCTGACATGCCGTTTGATTCCTGTGCTTTCTATCACTGTCGACATCATCAAGACAAAAGCTGCTACCCGCTACATTCTTTCATCCATTGCCGGCTTCTTTGTTGCGATTTTCCAATTTCGGAGGCGCTGCATGTCCCTGCTCGAGGAAGTCTTCAAGGTGCCGGGCTGGCTTGATGATCACAAGGCATTTCGTATCTGGCCTGCTCTTGAGGCCGAGCTGTGGATGCTGGTGCTCGTTTCTCCCGCTGTCAGATTCAACCTACGGAGCTCGTTCTGTACAGAAGTGTCCGCCACGGACGCTTCAGACAGCTGGGAGGCCGAGGTGGCACAGGAGTTTCCCGAAAAGTTTGTTGAGGAACTCAGTCGTCACAGTCTCCGGAAGTCCGTATGGACCAAATTGCTCAGGCCTGCGCAGGTCACCGCACGGATCGAGGGCATCCTTGACCCGTCGGAGGAGCTCCCGGGGGGAGAGTCTTTTGGCTACCATCCGGTTTGGCAGACCTTGTTCAGGACCGTGAAGTTCAAGGAGATTTGGAGGAGGCGGATTTGGAAGCCCCGCCACATAAATGTTCATGAGCTTCGGACCTTGCTTGCTGCCGAGCGACGGAGAGGTCTTCTTCACCCTGGTTCAAGCATCGTGACAGCGAGCGACTCTCAAGTATCTTTAGGAGCCGTCCTCAAAGGTCGATCGGCATCACCTAGACTTAACGGCATTCTCCGTCAGAGCCTCCCGGACCACCTCTCTTCCGATTGCACGGGGATCTATGCCTATGTAGGAACCTCTGACAATCCTGCTGATGATCCTACTCGGCATGCTCGTGTTCGCGAAGCCCGGGAAGCCATGCCTTCCTGGATGGAGCGCGCTCTCGGAGGCTCGTTTGCTGAGCTCGAGGATTTCCTTAAAAACTTTGAGTTGGACACGGTTAGCATGCTTGGGCTCCCTCCTTTCGAAACCATCATGCCTTTGGCTTTGTCGAGTCCTCGAGCCCCTCGTGCCGAACGCCGTGGGATGTTCCTGAAGCAGCTTAAGGTGAGGGGCTCAGAGCATGTAGCCGAAGAGTTCGCTGACAGCCTGGTCCGACGTGGATCCATCAGAGCAGAGGACCTACGGCATCTTAGCGAGCTCCTCCCGGCCGAGACGCCCGCTCGAGGCGGTGATCTGAGTCGGGCGCGTTCTTTCAGTAGTGGGATGTTTGTTCACGGAGGTGTTCTTGGCCTTCGACAGAACTGCCGGTCTTATCCCAGGAGTAGTGCTGCTGTCGCGCAGTTTGTGAATGAGCACTTCCCGCAGCATACGTACACGAGTTTCTCTTTCATGACAAATGTGAGGACCCCCCCTCATCGGGATTCGCACAACCACCCCGACAGCGTGAACCTCGTAGTTGGGCTTTCCGAATTCGGAGGCGGGGGCATCTGGGTTGCTGATGATTTGGGAGAGGTTGCTGAAGAGATACAGGGCGAAACCGTTTTGGGAAAGAACCTGGATCTACAGAGCGGAGCTGTCACACTTCAGCCCCGCAAGTGGCACTTCACCCGGGAGTGGACTGGCGACCGCGTCGTTCTTGTCCTCTACACTGTTCGGGATTACCTGAAGGCCCCTCGCAGCGACCTGGAGTTCCTCACCGGGCTTGACTTCCACCTACCGGAGCCCGTCTATTTGAAGTTTCGATCTTTGAAGCCGCCGTCCAGTCTCCGTTTTACCAGGCATGATGAGTTCCTGGTAGCAGGGAAAGGACCCAGGTTAGAGCGGTGCGATGATGACGACATCTGGCCCAAGGACGAGCCCGTGCTTGACTTGCCGCCTGCCGTTGTGCAGGCTCTGCTTGAGTTTGATGCCGAACAGTTTGTTTGTCCGAAGCGTGACCGCAGGCAGCTGACTGAGAGGTTGTTACGGCCTGGTTTCCTCGACTGCTATTCAGGTTCCAGAGGAGTTGCTCATGAGCTTGCTGAAGCTTCCGGTACCTGGGTGCTGACCTTTGACTATGCCAGGTCCCCTGACGAGGATCTCTTGAACGTTGACCTGCAGGCCAGACTCTTTTCGCTTATCCGAGGCCGAGCGTTTCTGGGTTGTGGAGCTGGGCCTGTGTGCTCTTCTTTCTCAAGGGCCATCAGACCCCCTGTTCGAAACAAGGAGTGGCCTCTGGGGATCCCCGGTGCCAGGGCCAGCATGGGCGAAAAGATCAAAGAGGGGAACCTTCACGCGTCCCTCACGGCCTCCCTCGCGAGCGAATGCCTGCGCTTGAACATCCCCATTTGGGTTGAAAATCCTCACGGCAGCTACTTGTGGGAGACGCCTTGTTGGCGAGATCTTCTCGGCGGAGATTGGCCCAGCCTTTGCTGGGTCGTTGACTACTGCGCCTTCGGGACTCCCTGGAGGAAGAGAACCCGGTTCTTTGTTGGAGGTGACGCCGGTGGCCAGCGTGTCAGATGCCCAGGCTGTCCTCAACACCAGCGTCTCAGCGGCTATGCAAAGCTGCATCGACGCCAATGGACTAAGGTTGCCGAGGCGTATCCGAAGCAGATCAACAAGCTCCTTGCACAGCATTTGATTCGACAGAGCTCGGCCCCTGAAAAGAGGCTCCGGCTGGACCTCGTGGGCTGTGCAAAGTGCGTTGGCTCGCGGTTTGGTGAAGCTGCCAACCCTGGACCAAGTGCAGCCGAAGGAAAGCTCACCTCGCTGGAGAACGTTTCCTTGGTCACTGCGGCTACTGCGAAGCTTCAAAGCCGCGTGGTGTTGGGTTTTGAGGAGTGGTTGCTTCAGGGTCTAAGTGATCGGGCCCTCCGTAGCCTTTCCTCGTGCGCCATGGCCTACTGCACTCTGCTGAGAGCGTATGGGGACTACCTCTTCCGGAGCGGTAGCCCCATGTATCTGTACCGGCATCTTCTGGCTTTCATGCAAAAGAATCGGCTTGAGCTCCGACCATATATGCCGCTGGCCTGGGATCTGCTGTCGAGATGGGAGCGCGTGCAGCCTGTACGGCACAGGGCGCCGATGCCCGAGGCTGTCTTCAAGGCTCTCTTCGCTCTCGGGGCCATCAGGGGTTGGCGACGTTGGTGTGCAATCCTGGGGCTGGCTTACTTTGGCATAGCTAGAGCAGGCGAGCCGCTGCGCGCCCAAAGAAAGGATCTGTTGCTCCCTTCTGACACGCTGTCTCCGGCGTCCATCGGCACGTTTATGGCCGTCCGATCGCCAAAGACAGCTTTCAGAGGCAAAGGTCGTGTGCAGCACATCTGCATCAAGGATGTTGATTTCAGCCTTTGGAGCGGGTTTACGCAAAAGTGCCACCGGATGATCTGCTGTACAATGGGTCGCCCGCCTCCTTCAGAAAAAGATGGGATGAGCTTTTGAGAGCTCTCTCCGTCCCTAAGTCCCTCCGTCTGACACCTGGTGGGCTCAGAGGCGGAGGAGCAGTCAAGGCTTACCGCGAGGGCC